CAGCCTTTGCAGGTAACACAAGGGCCTGGGCTGTGAACTCCCTGCAGGTACTGCCGTCCAAGCTTTACATGCAGCTGAGGGGTTTCTACAGAAACTTCAAGCTCCTTTTATCACCCAGACAGGCATCGTCATTTGGAATTTAAAAAACTGGCAGTTGTACCTTTGTCAGCGGCAAACTAGTTGGTTTATCTGTCTTATATTTGCAAGCCCTTTTTTACCCAGATTTGCTGTAAGGATATTTTTCTTGGTTCTTTGCTTTCCCATTTTGCAGCCATTCCTTCTCTCACCTCTTTGCCAGATCCTCCCTAGGGTATCACTGAAAGCACAGTTTGCTTCTCCCACAAACCTCTGTGCTGTAAAAAAGGGAGGTGTGGACGTTGCTCTTTCTCAGTTATGATACTTGCCTCACTACGTTTGATCCGGTTCTTGTAAGATATTTACAGTGCCCGTGTGTGACATTAGGGGGGTTGAGTTCAGGACGTGGAGGGAGCATGGGTTCATGTTTGTGAACCAAGGGCACCTTATCTGTCCTTCTCTGAAACTTAAGTCTGCCGTAGGCTTCACAAAGTTTGTGTTTTAGGAGGACGGTGTATCTTACTGTCTTTAAACATGAAGCAATCAGCCTAGTATCCATTTCAGAACCCTCATGTCTGCCCTTCTATAGGCACCTCAGCCTGCAGTACACGTGCAGGGACAGGAACCGCTAACGGCCTCCATGCTGGCTGCTGCCCCTCCCCAGGAGCAGAAGCAGATGCTGGGTAAGTGAAACTCCAGTTCTTTTAGATTGAGTTTTATTTTGGAAATCCCCTCAGGTTTCAGAGATGACTTTGTAATTGAAACCGAACCCTTTTTTTTTTTTCTTTCTTCCCCAGGAGAACGTTTGTTCCCTCTGATTCAAGCTATGCACCCCAGCCTTGCGGGGAAGATCACAGGAATGCTGCTAGAGATTGACAACTCGGAGCTGCTGCACATGCTCGAGTCTCCAGAATCCCTCCGGTCGAAGGTAAACCCGCCTGTTCCTTTAGATGGGGTGGACTGTGGGAAGCTTTGGCCAAGAGAACAGGTCTCACTGGGTAACTTGTCTCCCCCAGGTGGAGGAGGCCGTTGCAGTGTTGCAGGCTCACCAAGCCAAGAAAGAAGCTGCCCAGAAGGTGGGCGTGGTTGCTGCTACCTCTTAAACCAGGAAGACTGGTGAGTGTCTGGGTCCTTAGCGTCACTGAAAAGCTTCCAGAATCAGAGTAAGTAAAGTGTGATTGTGAATGTTGCTGGTCTGGAGGCCCGTGCAGGTCTGGGTGCAGCACTTGTCTGCTTTTAGCCCACTCTTTAAAAAACAAACCAAACAAACCCACCCTAATGCAGTTTTTCCCAGTGGAATCCTTATTGGAGAAGCTTTTAGAAATATTCTTCAGAAATCTCATTTTAATTAAGCATCAGAAAGATGTTGAGTAGGTCCCTGGAGTGTTCCTAGCAGTTGACGTGTCAAGGAAAGAATAATGTATTGAGACGAATCTTGTGGAACTGCTAATCTGGGAAATAAAATGAGACACACAAGATGTTGTAGTGACTTTGAGGCTGAATAGGCTGTTAATGCCCATTCCTTTTCCTGACCATCATCTGCCTATGGTATGAATGTGCTGGTGTCAGGGATGTCACTTCACTGCATAGGTCTGGCCAAGCCAACGCTGCCTCCTGTGTTTGGAGCTGGCTCTTGTTTGACTTCTGAATCAGGTTTTTGATTCTTTGAAGCAAAGTGGCTCCGGTCGCCGGCTTCTCTGCTGAAGAGTTTGAGTTTATTGTCAGATGATCAGAACTTGGTATTTTCCACAACTGTTACCAGCTTCTCCTTACCTTGCAAATTATGTTGGAGTCGTTATGGTTTGTAAGGCTGGAAAGCTCCCTAGCGTGGGGCGAGGTGTGTGCTGTACGGAGGTAACTCCTCGTCATCTTTTCCTCTAGGATGCAAAGAAGCCAAATAAGCCCCTTCATAGACATCAGCTCGAGATGTTTGAAGATTCTCCACTGTCCTGCAGATCTCAATGCCATGCATCATATCACATAGTTATATTGCATTTTGTAAATTAATCTTTAAGATCTTATTTAAAAAGCCAACTCTGAAGCTCTAGATTTCCAAAACCAGAATTGGGCTTGCAAGCTTTTCCTTTGCGGTCAGATCAGAGCTACCCTTTGTGTCTTCTGAGCAGGACATTGAGGATTTTAGGTTGAAAGTATTTTGTGGTTTTGGTTTTAACTGAACAATCCAGTTTGGAAAGTCTGGAAAGCATTTATCAATAAAGGAATAAAAACATTTACTGCGTTTGTCACTTTATTTCTCTAGATTCAATAAGTCAGTGTGATGTGGCTTGGTAAAATTAAACTGGCAGGCAGTTGTCGTATGATTGATATATTAAAATTGTGGTTTAATCGAGTTATTCTGCTTGTTAACTTTGGACAATCACTGGTTTGAAGCAGCTGTGTTTAAAATCATGCCAGGGGATGATTATGTTGGGTTTGGTTAGTGTCTGAGGGGGAGATGGCTGCAGCTAAGGGAAGGGCAGTGATTGCGCCCCTGTACTTGGCACTGGTGAGGCCGCCCCTCGAATGCTGGGTTCAGTTTTGGGCCCCTCACAAGAAGAAAGACATTGCGTTGCTGGAGCATGTCCAGAGGAGAGCAGCAGAGCTGGTGAGGGGTCTGGAGCACAAGTCCTACAAGGAGTGGCTGAGGGAGCTGGGGGGTGTTTGGTCTGGAGAAGAGGAGGCCGAGGGGAGACCTTAACGCTCCCTGCAACCGCGTGGCAGGACGGTGTAGTGAGGTGGGGGTCGGCCTCTGCTCCCTGGTAACGGGCGATGGGATGAGGGGAAATGGTCTGAAGTTGCGCCAGGGCAGGGTTAGGTTGGACATGAGGAAAAATTTCTTCACAGAAAGGCAGGCACTGGAAGGGGCTGCCCAGGGATGGGGTCGAGTCCCCATCCCTGGGGGGATTTAAAAGCCAGGCAGATGCGGTGCTTAGGGCCAGGGTTTAGTGGTGGGATGGCAGGGGTAGGGGAACAGTTGGGCTTGGTGATCTTAAAGGGCTTTTCCAACCGAAATGATTCTATAATAATATTCTACAATTCTTAGTGTGCTCAAATAGCAAGGTTGGGGAAGTTTTTTTCAAACGAAGCATAAAAGGGGTTTGGCTTCCTCTTCATCCCCTGCTGGCGAGGAGAAACTTTGCAGTTCCTTGCATATATTTCTAGATTTTCAGCTGGGCGTTTTCTTTAATGGTTCGGTTGTTACAGGGCAGATGATTTTATACCCTAAAGGTGGCTGCATCTTGGCAGTGGGCTTCGTAAAGGATTTGTAACCTATTTGGGGTGATCCTTTGGGGTAAAGCGTTAATCAAGAAACACAGAGCGTGCCGTAATTCTGACTGGAAGAGCAGTTGGACTCTGCCGCAGCTGCTCCTGCGGAAGGACCGGGGCTAGCTAAGCCCGGCTTTACCCTGGCGGCTCAATGCGTGGTTGGCGGCCGGTGCGTGGGGTGTCCCGGGGGGGCTCGCCGGGATTCTGGGTGCAAGCGCCTGCGCTCTGTCCCCTTTTCCCGGTAAGATAAGGACGAATTCCCCCTGGAAAGGCGGGG